TGGCTAAGGCTATTATGCCATTGATAACTCGATAAGAGTTGATAGCGAGCTGCATTGGGTTCAATTTGTAGTAATGGAGGACTTCTCGAAAAAGGATGTCAAGAGGGAGCCTAAGCCCACACTCTATGAAAGCTACAACTAGGAAGGGCATGGAATCGATTGTGGACATAATGGAGTCATCCTCCCCAGCCAACCTGAGATGAACGTCGGCCGGGATGGAAAATTCCTGCCTAAAGTATTCTAACTTAGATAGGGTATTTACCATATGCCTCCACATATCCATGATGTCAGCTTAGGGGAAGGTATTGGATTTCAGAAAGGTGTGTTTTGTAAAAGTTTGAGGGACCTCGGCAAAACCTGGAAGAATGATGGGGCAAGAAATTTTGAGGATCTAAGTGAATTATGCTTCAGTTTGACCTAAAATTCGTGGGTTCTACAACAAATCCCAAACCTAAGACTATGGAGACAAGAATTGAAGTCAGGAATCTGGAAAAAAACACAGAAACAGAAATAGGAATGCGATTCAAAATCAAGAATAGTGATAAACTATCAAGAACACAGTGATAAAGTTTGTATAAGTGTGTAAAGCCAAGAACAGTGGCAAAAATCAACAGATATGTAAGCAATGTGTGTATACATAGGAAAAGATTGGGCAAAAATAAAATCGTGAGGTAAACGTGCCTTTATACATGATGGAATCCAACGCATAAATGAAGACTCAAGAACATGAATACAGTCATAGTAGCAAAATACGAATGTAACAGTTTGAGGAGAAACGAGAAGTTAAAGCGAAGGGAGACAGTGGCTTACCAGAAGAGTGAAGCCGGTGTTAAGTGCGCCGGAGTCAAATGACGGCAGCAATCGGAAAAGATCACCAAAAACTTTGCCGGAGGAGAAGGATGGAACTGGTTGCAGAAAGCTTCACGAAAGCAGCAATGGAGGATTTGAGAGAGAGTTTGAACGAGAACGGAGATGCAAAAATGAAAAGACGGAGAGAGAGAAGTGGTTTTGATCAGAACCATGAAATAGTGGCAAAAATGCAATCAATGTGCCTAGGACGACGTGTTTATCAGACGGCGCATGCAGGTGCGAGGTGACTTAAAGGCACGTGTCAAGTACGATCCAATGAGGGAAAGACGCGAGACTAAAACGGTTGAGTTGTTGTGCGTGACAACTCATACGCGTGTTGAATCTCTTGGAATTCTTGATTGGATGGAGATGGACGTCGGTTAAGAGGACGATCTCGGCTGAGAAACTGGAACGAGCTTGGTTAATGGTTCTAAAAGTATTGCTGAAAACAGATTATTCGTGGTCATATTGAGCCAACAAATGATGACCTCGGAAATGAAAGACAAGGAAATCTTAGCCGACGTGCTGAATGGAAGAAACGATATAGGTTCCATCACCTCAAAATGCTGAGGTAATAGAACCTAGGGGGCTGTTGGGGGGACATAATTTTTGGATGACAACACGTGGCCGAGGAGGCACTAGAGTGCCAGCCGAGATGCCACGTGTCCTGGACATGACACCGAGATAATCTCGTCTAGGCCGAGGTTATCTGTGAAGATATCGGAATCCGGGATAAGCGAAAAAATGACAAGAGTCCCAGAATGGGAGAGGACTTCAGTTTGAGTAAAGATAAGACTTTGAGAGAGTTTATCTTAATCATGCTGGGAGTCCAAGACTAGTAGTAATCCTAAGTCCATTAGAGCTAGGCTTCTATTGGGATTAGGACAGTATTGGCTATAAAAGAGAGGCACCCTCATGGGTCTAAGGTACGCTTTTTTGTGTTTTGAATAGTGAGTTAAGCACTTTTTCTATCTTTGAGAGATAACTGACTTGATCGTCGGAGTGCCCCCAGGTGGACGAACCATCGTCGGAATCTCTTCTTTTTGTGACAGGTCGTTCGGGCTTGATCTATTCTGCCAGTGTTTCCCCCGCTGAGTTCTAGTTTGGCAGTGTGGTCAGAAATCGACACACACATTATCTATAATTTTAATTAGTATTTTTAATTTTTAAGTTGTAAAATTAATTTGTCTCACCCCTTTCACCAATCAGATTTATCATGCCCTTGATATAATACAGACTGGGAATAACCCGTCCCAAACTCATCCCGTGACCATCCCTATTTGGCACCCAAAATCATACATTAAAATAAGGGATTAGATTATCCCAAGTTGGCCATCCAACTTGAGAGGGCGTTTCGGATTGGTAGGTCTATTTTGGGGTCGATGTTGGTAATCCGAACAGTTCACTTTTTAAAACTTATTAAGTAGAATATTCATGCAAAAAATTAAAATGATCGAATATCAATAACTATATGTACGTTTGAACTACGTTTGTTTTACAAAAATGGAGGATAATTATAATTTCAATATAATACAAATGTAATTAAAATATTTAATTACCAATATCCGATTATTTTAATTTTTCACATAATATTCTACTCAACAAGTCTCAACAAGTCTTAAAAAATAAATTGTTCAGATCACCGAGATCAGCCCCAAAATGGGCCCACTATATCCAAACGCCCTCTCAAATTGAGATAACTAATTGGAGAGAATCCAAACCCGACTCCATTTTAGAAAAAAATAAATAAATTATGAAAAGTGAAAGTGGTAGAAAATAAAGTGAAAGAAAAGAAAAAGAAAATATCTTTTCTAGTATAAATTTGGGTAGGATGAAAATTTTGTAAAAAAATAGGAATTCTAATTATAGGTAACTACTTTTATAACAAATTTAACTTCTTCTTTTTCTTTTTTTTCTTTTTTTTTTTTTTTTGTGCAAGAAACTGGAAGCTTTGTTACCATACTATTATAAGTTGTACAAGAAAATTAATTTTCTTATAATTCCACTTTTCATGCTAAACAAACTTAGAAAAATATTATTTTTTTCCATTTCTTTCACTTTCTATCATTTTCATTCTAACCAAACTAAGCCTTAAAACAATGGATGTTAGTGTAATTTTAAAAAATATAAGGGTGTTATCTGTATTTTCAATATACCACATGGGTGATTTGTAGGGGTATTCGCGGATCGGTTTTGTGCGGTTTGCGGTTCGGTTTTGACCCGCCCGCATCTATGCGGTTTAGGAAAAAGTCAACCCGCAACCGCCCGCAGTGCGGTTTGCGGTTTGTGCGGATAGGGTTTGTAGATGTGCGGGCGGTTGCGGGCGGTTTGCGGTTTACACTTTTTTCTTTAAAAATTAATTTTTAAGTTTTTTTTTCCCATCGAATTTAAGCATTAGATTCATTTTATATATTTGTGATCATTTAATAACAATTTTCTGATGAGTTTACAAATAAAAATTTAATATCACTAGCATTTTTGTCATGAAAAAAATGTATATCAATGTATTAAAGGTTGTACTCAATTAGAATTGTCAATTCAGTAATCAATAATCAAACTAGAAGCTTCATCAATCACCAGAAGAAAAATTTTATTAGGAAAAAGTGGATGAGTCATCAATGAAAATCATATAAGAAACCAAGTTTTAGACTTGATAATTCTATGACATTAAGAAAGTTGAGAAATACTTAAAAATAAGGATCCTAGTGTCATAGAGAACATAATGGTGCTCCTGTTAAAGTTACAAAGTTGGTATATAAAAAATAATAATAATAATACTAATTAAAGTGCGGGCGGTTTTTGCGGGTTGCGGTTTTAACCCGCGACCCGCCCGCAACCCGCAAATTTGTCATATTTCAAACCGCATCCGCCCGCATTATGTTTGCAAAACCGCCCATTTATATGCGAGTTGGGCGGTTTGAGCGGTTCGGATAAACCGTTGCCCACCCCTAGTGATTTGTGTAATTTACCATATTTAGTATCTCTATCTATCAATATGCTTCCAACCGGCATTTTTCCCTGAGTATTCCATTCTCACAACTTTATTCCCACTCTAGGGTGGGTTTTTTTCTTTATTCCCACAATAGAGTAAAACGGTTTTACCAATGCCGATTTCTAGAAACGGTTTTACCAATACCCTTCTTTGGGAATAAAAAAATAATTAAATTTCCCCCTATCTGTCAAAAAATCAACTTTTTAAAAGTCATTTTTACTTAATGTGTAATTAAATTCTAAGTTAATTTTTAGTAATTTTTTTTTCCAATTTATATTTTCAACATAAATATTGTTTGCCAAAAATATTTTGAATACATAAAACGCTTTTATAAAAGCCGTTTTATAATACAACTTTTCGAAAATCGTTTTATGGGGAACATTTTGTATTTCATTTTTCTTTTCTTGTTGGGTTTAAGTGAGACCCAAGTGATTTGTGTTGACACACTCCAACACAATTGACATTTTCACTCAGCAGAACTCACAAGGAAAACTGACGAAGAGCAAGCAAACGAAGAACGGGCAACACGACACCACCGACAAAACGAGGAAGACTTTCAGCAAACATCCACATTCGGGTTTGTATTGCATAAATGAAGATTTTTATTTCAGATTTGGGATTTTGAATTTCAAAATTAGGGATTAATTGCTGAAACTAAGGCTTTGAAAAGTTGCAAGGATGTTTTCAAGTCTTCGTCTTCTTCGTTTTTGCTACAACTCTCGTGATGGCCTTCGTCTTCTTTGCCTTCCCGCAGTGCTCTTCGTGTCTCTCTCTTCGTCATTGTTTGTTGAACTGCAGCGTGTGTGTGTGTGTTTTAGGCTGTTGGAACAAATCACTTTTAACCCAAAACAAAACACACACACAAAAATTTATTTCATGAAAATAGTTTTCGTAAAGTCGTATTATAAAATAGTTTTTCTAAAACCGTTTTATGTATCAAAAATATTTTTCACAAATAATATTTATGTTGAAAATGCAAATTAAAAAAAAATTACTCAAGCAATTTTACCAAAACCGTTTTTAATTAACTTAAAATTAATTGCACGTCAGGTAAAAATCACTCTTGAAAAGTCAATTTAGTATAAAGAAATTTTATTTTATTCACAAAAAAAAACGATATTGATAAACCGGGGTAAAGCCGTTTTACAGTACAATGGGAATAAAGAAAAAAAAATCCACCCTAGGTGGAATAAAGTTGTAAGAATGGCATACTCAGGAAATATGCCATTACAGCCCCCCCTTACTCTCTCTCCGAAGAGGTGGCAATATACAGCAGAAGAAGAAGAAGAAGAAGAAGAAGAAGATCAATGAAAGGAGTGGCTTTTCTTCATCTTTTCAATCTCTGGTATTTCTTACTTCTTAGTTTTCTCGCTCCTTTTACCTCTTGTTTTATTCTTTTTCAACGTCAAAGTTTGGATTTTTTTTTAATATTTTTTTAATCCTTCTTGTCTGTGCATTTCGTTGCCTGTATGATCTGATGATTCTGGATATGGGTTTGGTATCTTTAGTATTAAACATGTTATGAATCATTGGAATTTGGGGTTAAATTTTGTTGATCACTGCCAGTGAAATTGCAACGGAAAATTTAGGACAACCCACCGTTTGTTTGTTGACAAAAATCGATGCAAAGAAATGAAAACTATCTTTTGAATCAACTGTTATGCGTTATCCGGGTCATCTAAAGAATTAAAATTTCAGTAGTTTTTAATCGAAATTTTTGTGTTTGTTTCAGTAGAATTGAGGTATTTTTTTGTCTGAAGTTCCCGATGAGTTTTTTTTTTCCTTCTATTACCTAAATTTTCTCTGCAACCAAACAGAGTGAGGAAAAATTTTTCATGGGTTTGGTTCAAATTTAATTAATGGGAAATGCGAAAGACTGTGTTGATGTGTTTTTTTCCTGCCTGTAGGCAATTCAGCTAATGAGGATATTTTTTTTCTTCTCCTATTTCCTAAATTTTCTCTGCAACTAAAGGGAGTGCGAGGGGAAAATTTTCATGGGTTTGGTTCATATTTAATTGTGTGAAATCCGAAAGACTGTTGATGTATTGTTTTCTTCTCTGCCTGTAGGTAATTCAACAGAAAACTGCACATGGATAATGTTTTAGGGCAAGATTTGATTAGTGATCTGCCTCAAAGTATTATAGAAACCATCCTAACAAAGCTTCCGATAAGGGATGCAGTAAGAACATGCAGTTTATCAAGTAAATGGAGGTATAAATGGGCTAATCTTACTCAACTTGTATTTGATGACAATTGTGCAACGCTTTGTAATGACAAAGGAGCTGTTGAGGACAGCCTTGCAAAGTTCATTACTCGGTTTCTCTTTCTTCATGATGGACCAATTCACAAGTTCAGTTTGTCTAGTGCATACTTGCAAAGCTCACCCGATATAGATCAATGGCTGCTTTTTCTATCAAGGAATGGTATTAAAGAATTGGTTCTTGAATTAGGAGAAGGCGAGTGGTTTAGGGCTCCTTCTTGTCTTTTCTTCTGTCGAAAATTGACTCGTTTGGAGCTAATTCGCTGTGAATTGGACCCTCCTCCGACTTTTAAAGGATTCTTATGTTTGAAATACCTCAATCTTCAACAAGTTTTAATTGCCCCCGATGTTGTTGAGAGTCTCATATCAAGTTGCCCTTTTCTTGAAAGTCTGACGTTATCGTACTTTGATAGTTTAGCTCTTACTATCTGTGCTCCGAATCTCAAATACTTGTGTCTGGAAGGCGAATTTAAAGACATATGTCTCAAATATACCCCACTTTTGCTTGCTATATCTGTTGCTATGTATATGACTGATGACATTGCCGAGCATTTTGAACAAAGTTCAAGTTGCAACTTTGATAAGTTTCTTGGCAGTGTACCATGCCTTGAGAGACTTATTGGACATATTTACTTCACCAAGGTAAGACTTTACTAAATTTGTTTTTTATTTATTTAGGTTCTATGGAAAACACAGTCTAGTGCTTACTCGTGGCCAAAGTGCTTTCTTATGTTATTGTTTTTGTCAAGTATTTGAGTATAGGTAACGACCTAGGAAAACTTCCAGTTGCATATAACCATTTAAAAGTTGTTGAATTGTATCAAGTGAGTTTTGAGGACATGAAAGAGATACTGGTGGTTCTTCGTTTGATTGTGAATTCCCCTTGTTTACGAGAACTTCAAATCTCGGTGAATAATCTTAAACTCATTAAATATTTTATATTTCAGATTACAATGGCCATTCACTTGTTCATTTCCTTGTATTGATTGATAAATTAGGGTTCTTCAAATATGTCAACTGCAACAGAAGCTCCTGATTTGGATTTTTGGGAGAAAGAATGCCCGTCTGATTGCACATTCAGTCTGCTTGAAACTGTGAAGATGACAGATATGTCTGCTGTGCCACATGAGATGGAATTCATCAAATTTTTACTTAGAAACTCACCAATGCTTGAGACAATGAGCATTACGCCTAGTGTATATGTTACAGATGGAAGATTGAATATGTTGATTGAGTTGGTGAGGTTTCGAAGGGCTTCTGCACAAGCTGAAATCATCTTCATCCAAGATTGATATGTAAAAACTGTTTTTCTTACATAAAGTCTCTTTGTTTTGTGTTTGTTTTCCTTCTTTTGACAGATCATTGGGCTTCCATTTGTATTTATCTTGGCCAGGTTGTTGCAAATGATGAAATAATATTAAAAATAATCTTTACAATCCATGCAAAGTCCCACAAAAAATCATTTAGTTTATTTTGTCTTTTATTTATTTATTTTGGTTCCTTTGTTAACAATGAAACTCTTCCTTCGCTGCAATTTCCCATTTGTAGCTTAGAATACAGTACAACATTGGGAAGATTTGCAATGAATCATGTGATTGGAAACCATTTTCACCCATCTATGATACTCTAAATGAAAATCCACAATTAAGCAGTTTTATATTTTGGTGTATATTAAATATAAATTTTAATCATATCTTAGGTTGAGCACATCCTGCAAATTTTAATATTATGACATTTTCATGAGAGCCTTGTGTGGAATTAACAATTGCAATACTACAAATTTGTGTTGACTACATTTTCTGTAAATTACAAGAGACTTAGGGGAAGGATAGAAGTGAAAGCTTGAGTTATCCAGCAACTGTCAGACTGTCATTTAGGCTGTGTTTGGAATTTGAGTTTGTGGAGGAGGAAACAAAGAAAGGAAAAATGAAAGAAGATCCAAACACAGTATTAGACTGGAGACAGTTTTCTGATAAGATTGCTTCTAATACCAAAAACTCTTGAACTCAAAACAAATCTCTGTGAAGTTCTGTTGTACCCTATAGAAAACAACTCTTAAAACTCATTCCTTGTTTTCTTACAACATTATTCTTACAAGTTTGAAACAACCAGAAAATTCCTTCACTCATCAATACAAAAAAGAAAAAAGAAAAAAAAGGACTCGTAAACACACGGCCTAAATGTCAGTAATTGAAATCAGATTCTATACAGTCAGAAGTTGCCACCACTTTCCAGAGCTTTGAGAATATCATGATACTATACAACAAACTCATTTCCACACATATAGTCTTGCTGTTGCATTCTGTGACAGATTTATTTTCATGTTTCTCTTCTAGAATTTGATCACCGGGGTCCTGATAGCTCCATTGCCTGGACGAGCAAGGATGAGTCATCTGTGAGATCAGAGTACCGCTCTGAAGAAGAGAACTCATTTGCTCTGCACCTGGTTGTGTCGGCTCTCTGTGAAGCTTCCCATTTCTCTGCAAGTCCATCTCCTTCGAGCATTCTAACTACTTCAGACATCTTGGGTCTATGACTCGGAAGATATTGGGTACACAGGAGAGCCACTTGAACCATTTCTTCAAGCTCAATCCGATCATAGTTGTTTTTCAGGTCCTTGTCGACCAACGTATCAAGTTTCTTTTCCTGATGAATTTTCTTAACCTGCAATGATATACCCATCAGTCAAATGTACGAGGCAAATGTATAGAGTTCAAAATTATCAAAAACACTTGTTTTTGCTCACCCAATCAAGCATAACTCCTTTCTGGTTTGTTGTTTTCCCAAATTCGAGGGCTCTTTGACCAGTGATCAATTCAAGTAGAAGGATTCCAAACCCAAAAACATCGGTTTTCTCTGATGACTGGCCTGTTGAGAGATACTCTGGGGCTATATGCCCCACGGTTCCTCTGACAGCAGTCGTGACATGTGAATCTTGGTGATCCAAAAGCTTTGCCAATCCAAAATCTCCCACCACAGCTTCATAGTAATCGTCAAGTAATATATTTGCAGCCTTCACATCTCTGTGAATAATCTTGGGATCGCACTGCTCGTGCAGGTATAGTAGACCCCTAGCAGCACCCAATGCAATTCTTTTCCTAGTACCCCAATCCAAAGCTGGTTTAGCTGCAATGCAAGACAGATAAGTATGAATCTAACGTTCCAGTATTAAAAACTGTCTGTTTGCTCAAGCAAAGATAGAGGGAAAGTCAAGAATGGTTGAAACAAGAAAAGGCAACGGAGTATATGCCTAGGGCTGTTAAACGAACCAAGCTACTCTAGCTCAATTTGCATTCGGATCATTAAAAGCTTGAACACATTTTAAATCTCGTTAAGTTTTTAAACCAAGCTTGAACAATCTATCACTTGGCTCGATAAACGTATATGCACTATAAAAATGAAGCTACTCAAACTCAAATTGTATTCAACTCGTTAAAAACTCATTTCAGATTGACTCGTTATGTAAACAAGTTAAACGTGAACACATTTTGAAACTCATTAAGTTTTTAAAACAAATTTGAACAACCTAGTACTAAGATTGACTCTGCTCGTCTGCATGTTTCCCCAAAGCATGTGTCATTGGTCAAGCCCACGTACAACAAATGAACAATGCAGACCGCCTTAAAGTACATTTCTTATCAAGTAACGGGTAGAATCCTTTGCAAAAGTATAATGTTGTCATTGTGAAGCAATTTGAAACATTTAGATGGTTAATTGTTTTTTTAGCAACCTATGTATGATTTGAATAGCAATGATGAATGTTTTTTTTTTCACCTTTAAGACGCGAAGCAACGCTCCCATTGGACATGTAGGGGTACACCAGAAGCCTTTCGCTTGATGTCATACAAAACCCATAAAGCCTAAGGAGATTGCGGTGCACTGCTAGGCTGATCATCTCGACTTCAGTCTGAAATTGAATCTCCCCTCCAACGGCATTTCCATCTTTGAGCCTTTTCACAGCTACAACGGTCCCGTCTTGGAGATACCCTTTGTACACATTTCCAAAACCACCCTTCCCAATTATGCTCTTGCTGCTGAAATTTTTTGTTGCACTCTGAAGTTCTCTGAATTGGAACCTCTTCAAGTTTCCAAGGCATACTTGTTCATGAAGTTGTTCTGAAAATTTTCAAAAACAGTTTGTTTTTATTAATGTAGCAGACTTTTATAACCTAGGATTTTTCTCAAATCTGATCAAATCCTTTTTTACTAACCGTTTACATCAAAGAATATTTGCTGGTTGTGTTTTTGCCTCCACCAGAGAAGAAATCCGAACCCAAAAGCAAGTAGGCAGATGCAGCCAAGGCTTGATCCAAATGCTAAGGCAAATTTGTGACCTTTAGGCCTCCCCAAAGGTTGAGAGCCTTGTGGAGCAAAGAGACTAACAGATCAGACTAAGGTAAATGCAAAAAAAATTTAAAAAAAAATATTAAAAATTAAAGCCGTGTAATATTGAAGGTGTTAACTATTTGAAAGAAACTATTGACAGCGGGGCAGTTTGGAATTTATAATTTCTTACTTTGTGCATTATTCAAGGGGTAAGAAAGTGGCATTGCTGTTGTTCCATTGCAGTCTTTCTCTGTCCCGGTTGCGCATATCTTTGGGTTTCCCATAAGGCTATGCACATGAAAGAAAATAGTTTTAAAAAAAAAAAAAAAAAAGACGATCTTCGTGTTTCATTTTCCTGATTTGTAGGTTAAAAAAAATGTAGAAGGGTAAGAATCAAAGAACTTACTTGAATGTTTTAGCAAGAAACCTTGGTACAGGACCATTCAAATTATTGTACGACAAGTCCCTGAAACATATTATACAAAGCCCACTTAGACCTTTCTCGAATCCAAACCTCTTCGTTTCTTTCTCTCTCTCTTTTTATGGGTTTCAAATACAAATTTCAGTGGAGAAAAGATTTAAGGAGACTTACAGAAATGCAAGTTGGGTCATATTAGCCAACGAGAAAGGAATTGATCCAGAAAGACTGTTATTGTTTAGCCTCCTGATCAGAATTCAATAAGATTTTCAGAAAAAGAAATCCACTAAAACATAATTTTATCCATGTATGCAAATATTTTGTTTTTTTTATGCTTACAGGTATTGAAGGCTTTTCAGATGGGTTAAAGAAGAGGGAATTTCACCGGTGAAGAAATTGTTAGAAAGATCAAGTGTCTGTAGTTTCGGAAGCCTCCCAAGCTCAGTGGGAATTGGCCCTGATATGTTATTATTCTGCAACAACCTGTAAAATACCTTATGATCAAATCATTTCTATTGAAATTTGAAAACATTGAACTCATTTTTTTTTTTTTTTTTTTCTTCTTTGTTTTGTACTCACACAATCTGGAGATTTGTCAAGTTCCCGATGCTAGGCGAAAGACTACCCGATAAGTTCTGGCTTGGAGTTCCTCTGCACAAAAAAAAAAAAATTTAAAAATAAAAAACTTTCATTAATTGAATCCATTTTCATGGTTAATTCTCAATTTTCTTGTATTTGTGGAGTAGGACATTGTCAAGATTATTAAGAGAGTGAAAAGGGTTGATAATATGTTTTGGAACTTACAAGCCAATGACTAGCTTATCGGCTGAACAAGTTACCATTGTCCAACTACATGGATCAACAGCATTAACATCCCAATTCTCTAAAACACCATGTGGATCATCTAATGAATCTCTTATACCCATCAAAGCTTGCACTGCAAATTCATTATAAAAATAAAAATAAAAATAAAAATTACAATTCAAATACTTAAAAACTTCATTTCACCACTTAAAAGATGACACTCCAAAAAATTAAAAAAATTAAAAATCTCACTTACCTTCAAAGTTGACACCTTTGGGGGAAAGCAAAGCATTTGCAGAAGCCCAGAAGCCAAAGAGAGCTACAAACCACAAAACAGAATACCCTCTTCTTGTTTCCATTGAATTTTACAGATTCAAAAACCAGTTTCAACTTCTTCAACAAAACCAACTTTCAAAAGGGTTTTTTAATTAGAAGTATGTAATATATATGTGAAATTCACACTCTTCACATGGCAATAGTACTATATCTCTCTCCTCCTAAAGCTTCTGTGAGGCCCAACAAAAAGATCTAGTAGTAGGGTTTTTGGTAGCAAAGTGAGAGAGAACTAACATGGTTGCCACTTGTTCAGCAAAGTGAAGTGAAGGAATATAAATATGAAAAGCTAAGCTAAGCTAAACTAACCCAATGTCAGATAAATTCTAAAGATGATAGAAAATTCTTTTAATCATTCATTGGTTATTTTTTTTTCAAGAAAAATAAAAGTGGTGTTCTTTAGAATTTTCTATGCTATTATTCTCTTGAATTTAAAAATAAAAAGTAACTCAAGTGATATCTGTGAAACACTGTAACATTTAATTATTAACTGATTCGATTAAAAATCTTGGCAAAATCTGTAGTTCACTGCATATTCCCTAGGTTATGACGCAATATGCTCCAAGTTACAATTCAATTATACTCTATTTCAACTCCAACTTAATCACATTCTGTCTTAACTTATATAAATCACGTCATAATTCAAAATTACAATTTGATATATATTATAACAAATTAAGGTTTTTTAAACAAAAATTTACGAATTAAATTTCTTTTTAAGGATAAAATATTTTAATTATCAAAAGTCTCATGGTTATGTTTGTAATAATGAAACTGGACATTTAGTAATAACTTACTATTTTTTTAGGATTAAAATTTTCGTCTTAAAAACTTTTTTGGCATGAAATAGTGCATTTTTTAGTGGCATTTTCAACACAAACAAAACAAAAACAAAAACAAAAATCAGTTTTTTTGCTTTTCTTGACAGCCTTTAGTGACGACATAAACTTGTTTCTTAATATTTTTTACAGCAAATTATCTCACATTTGAGGACGAAAAATTTAATCTCTAAAATCTTTATAGATTGTAATGATAATTGTTCTCCTAACTTTTTTTTAACCACCCACTGATATTGCAACTATTGTTGGGGGCTAAAAACTTACTCAAATACAGAAAAAAGTAACTCAAGTGATATCTGTGAAACACTGTAACATTTAATTATTAACTGATTCGATTAAAAATCTTGGCAAAATCTGTAGTTCACTGCATATTCCCTAGGTTATGACGCAATATGCTCCAAGTTACAATTCAATTATACTCTATTTCAACTCCAACTTAATCACATTCTGTCTTAACTTACATAAATCACGTCATAATTCAAAATTACAATTTGATATCAATTATAACAAATTAAGGTTTTTTAAACAAAAATTTACGAATTAAATTACTTTTTAAGGATAAAATATTTTAATTATCAAAAGTCTCATGGTTATGTTTGTAATGATGAAATTGGACATTTCGTAATAACTTACTATTTTTTTAGGATTAAAATTTTCGTCTTAAAAACTTTTTTGGCATGAAATAGTGCATTTTTTAGTGGCATTTTCAACACAAACAAAACAAAAACAAAAACAAAAATCAGTTTTTTTGCTTTTCTTGACAGCCTTTAGTGACGACATAAACTTGTTTCTTAATATTTTTTACAGCAAATTATCTCACATTTGAGGACGAAAAATTTAATCTCTAAAATCTTTATAGATTGTAATGATAATTGTTCTCCTAACTTTTTTTTAACCACCCACTGATATTGCAACTATTGTTGGGGGCTAAAAACTTACTCAAATACAGAAAAATATCAAGAAAAATAATTCATAGTTTTAGATTTATTCTAAATATGAGTATTATCATAAACAATGTTAAATCTGGATCATACATTTTTTTAAAAATATTTTTTTTATTTAAATTCTTAATCTCTAATATTACTCAGTAGTGCACGCAACTCAAAAATGTATTAGTGGTTCAGAGAGTTGCTTTGGTATGCCAAGCTTCTACTGTGAACTGTGTTGTTGTGTCCTCTGGGAATCCAACATTCCCTAAGCTTTTAAACAGTCCCAAATTCCAGATTTTATTAGAAGCTATAAATAAATAAACACCCATGTCAGGGTCTTTGCTATGCTGACTCATGAAGAACTCTTGACAAACAAAAATGATAATTTCATGCATCAAAATCTTGGACCTCTTTGGTTCTGTCTTTTTTTTTTCTTTTTCTTTTTTTTCCCTTAAAACAAAAACAAAAAAATTCAAAAACACTCATTATTTTATTTTTGAGAAAATAGTATCTGAAAATTCAAAACAACCTTTTATGCTTTTCGAAGGTTGTTTTTAGTATTAAAAAAAATGTAAAATCATCAAATAAAAATTTTACATTTTTCAAAAAAAAAAATGTCAAATTTCTCCACACAACTCACTTAATGTGAATCACTGTCACACAATTTTAATTTTAAAAAAATCACAAAATTTAAATCTTTCTCAAATATTTATCTTTGCTTAACGGTTATGGTAACAATTAAAAGGTAAAATCAACAACTCTGACTATTCAGCAGCGCAAGACTCCCTCTCTCGAATCAAGATCCTCTCTTTGTATTTTTTCATTGCATTTTGTATTTACAGGCTTATTGGGTCCACTTTTACGCCCAATTTTAATAATTCGAACCGTTTATATTTTAAGATTTATTCAGTATATCATACTTGTAAAAAATCAAGTTGATCGGATATCAAAAAGCATGTGCTCGGAAAACTATTTATTAAATTCTTTAAAAAAATAATTTTTAGTTCGAGTTTTTCGAACACATGTTTTCTAATATCCGATCAATTTAATTTTTTACAAATATGATATACTGAATAAATCTTAAAATAAAACGGTTCAGATTATCAAAATTAAGCTTAAAAATGAGCCCAACGACACTGCAAGTAAAAAATACAAGGAGAAAATGAATGGAGAGAATCTTGATTCCCCCCTCTCTCTCTCTCTCTCTACCCTCAACCACCCATCCACCCATTATCTGGCCACGTTGTAAGCTAGTAAAACATCAAAATCTACCAATAAAAAATTACAAATTACAAAAAAAAAAAAAAAAGCCACATTGTTCATTTTTCACTTGGCCACCGACCAACTTAAAACTAAAAAATAATTCTCCTTAAAAAAACTAAAAAATAAGTACATATAATAAATCTGCATCTATAATATATCTATATAAATAAATAAATAAAAAAGGTGAGAATCTCGAGATATGGGCTCGAGATTGGTGATGTTAATGGCTCCTCGTGAGATCTATGTTGGGTGAAATTATTTGTCTCACCTTTTCTTTTTCTTTTCCCTTTTCTTTTTTTAATTACTTGTGTGAGTTGGGTTTTTGCTTTATTGATTCTAAAACACTCATACCCCTCTCTCTCTCTCTCTGTATAGTCAAGAGACAGTCCAACCAAAAACAATATCAAAAGCAGCCAACTTTAAAAAGCAAAAGCTGCATTTTCTCTCTCTCTCTATCTCTCTAAACTGGATTGTGGGTCCATCATCATATCATTCATGTAAGCTTCTAAGAAATAGAAACTGTCTTGAATAAGTAACACCGTCTGATCAAGATCAGACGGTGGTTGTTGTGCTACCTAAGACCAAAGTGGAATGGTGTGTGATCAATCTCACAGAATAATGATATTGAATGAGAGAGTGTTTGTTGTGCAGGTACACGTGCATTGTGGACCCTCTGATCTTTCAAACACTAGTTTGGTTTGGGCCCCAAATTGGTCATAATGTTTCATGATCATCAAAGCAAGTCAAAGTGAATCAAATGGTTGTCAATTAATGATAAGACAAAGCTCATTAATAATAGGAGATTGAGCACTAAGCACTTGATTAGAGAGCCGTTGTTAACATGAAACAGTAATTCAAGGGGTGTGATTGGATACACGGATAAGCTAGTTCAGGTTTAGAACCAGGATCTGCCCTCAAAAGGGCTGTTTGGGACAAAGTTTTAGCATTTAAATACCTTTTTTTTTTCTTTTTTTTTTAGAATACTAGACACTAGACCGATCAGTGAACTTCATACAGTTGAGAAATCCAATATATCTACCATTATTTTTTCCAACGGCCATTATTTTAGTATTTTGTTACTTTAATATTTTTATGTTTTTTTTTTAATTTATAAATCTCCCATAATATCTTATATTTTTATTTCAGTATTTCCAATATTTTTTTCTTATTTTAAAAAAAAAATTCATACAAATAATAAAATCTGCTTTTATAAGAAAAAAATATATATATACTAAAGTTATGTGCAAACAACCCCAAAAGACAGTTTTAGCATTTAAATACCTTTTTTTTTCTTTTTTTTTTAGAATACTAGACACTAGACCGATCAGTGAACTTCATACAGTTGAGAAATCCAATATATCTACCATTATTTTTTCCAACGGCCATTATTTTAGTATTTTGTTACTTTAATATTTTTATGTTTTTTTTTTTATTTATAAATCTCCCATAATATCTTATATTTTTATTTCAGTATTTCCAATATTTTTTTCTTATTTTTAAAAAAAAAAATCATACAAATAATAAAATCTGCTTTTACAAGAAAAAAAAATATATATACTAAAGTTATGTGCAAACAACCCCAAAAGACCCTAAATTGTCCCTAATCTGACTAGTAAAACTATTCACAAACTATCTGTGTAATCCATACTAGTATATAATGTGTACTTTCAATTTGGTGTGATCACAAATTATGTCAAATTTTTTTATTTTTAAAAATTATCCCCAAAACAACTTATAATTGTCATTTATTTTTATATATGAATCGCATGTATATACAACTGCTAGTATATATATATTATTACAAAAAAAAAAAATTAACAATTGCATCTAATCTAGAACATAAATATTTTTGTGCAAAAATAATGTATGTTTAGATCATGAATTTTGGATATAAATTTGAAAAGAAAAAAGAAAAGTTGAGAGAAATATGAATGAAATATTTATCTTTTTTTTTCATTTCTCTCACTTTGTTCTTTCTTTATCAAAATTCTTTCTCAAATTTATAATTCAAATACAACGTTAATCTTTAAAAAAAAAAAAATTTGAGATGCAATTTTTATTTCAAACAAGTTGTGAGTCCAAATTAAGTCCTGGGAAAGAAGAAAGTCATGCCGAGGTTGTTTTTTTTGAAATGTTAATAAGGTGATTCATGTATGCATATCATTAGAAAAGCATGGAAAATCAGATATAACAACTAAATGGAACAGGTAGGAAGTGTTTGTCAGCAACCCACCTGA